TTCTGAAGTTGTAATTTTCAGAAGATGGAAGCGTGGTCTTCATACTTTAGAAACAATGGCTTAAACGCTAGATTGTGGACAGTGAAAAGTTACCAAGGAGAGAGAGCGATTATCTTCATTTTCACATTGCTTACAATTTGCCCCCTTTGCCTGTCATTGAGACAAGCAAACAAAATTAGCTTTAACAAATGTCTTTGAGTCCTTCCATCCAATTTTACAGATAGAAAGCAGAGGCTCAGAGGTTACGTAATCTAACCGTGGCCATCTGCAAGCAGAGCTGGTGGTTCAGGTCTCTGGACTCCAGCACCTTTCCCACCATTGCCACACTATTTTCCAAGAAGGAAGTATGCCTGAAATTTTAATACAAGCCAGATAATATGACTCATGAGGTCATTTAGGCTCAGGGGAATGGCAAGTGTAGCTCTTATGGAGTGTGGATGACTTAATGCAGAGAATCACACGGTTGGGGGAGAGCTCTGGCTCTGTATGCCAAGCACCTGCGCAAATGTGTAGAAATTCATGTAACCTAGGGACAAGTGCAGTTGTAAGCATATGATTGATAATGAAAGGAGAAAGAAATATTCATTCAGCCAGTCATTTCTCTGTGTAATCATTCATTCTATTCATTCATTTCACAAGTACTTATTAAGTATCTATGTCATGCCATGAATTATATATTAGGGATGTAATAGTGAATGACACATAATCCTTCTCATCAAGGGTTTTATAACTTGGGAGAGAAGATTGACAGCAAACTGTGATAAGACTACAATGTAGAAAGTGTTAAGTAATAATTACTATTAACCCTATTTTATAGATGAGGTAACTGGGTCTTAGAGTGGATGCATAACTTGCCCAAAGTCACAGAGCCAATAAGTGGCACAGTCCAGATTCAATTCAGACCTGTGTGACACAAAAATCCTTGCTTTTACTCCCACTCTGGGAGATGCTAATAGGTGTGCTAGAGAAGAAAGTTGTTGTTGTTTTAAGTTTTAAAAGTTTGGGAAATCTGTAAACTAAATGTCCTGCTGGGAGAGCCACAGCACATATTAGCATATTCAAGGGTTTGAGCCACTTTGTGGTAAGGAATACTATTTAGAAAGGCATTTCCCAAACATTCAAATGTTTCAGCCAAAGCACACTGCACTGTATTGACAACGATGGGAAAACAGGCAGAGAATGTAGTGTGCAGGGGATGCTCCGGAACTCAACACAATGTCCCTCGACTTTTCAGGAGTATTGGTGAATTGGACAGGACACATTCACAAAGTGGGCCTTCTCAGGTTCTGTGATGTTAAAGAATTGAATTCTGGTACGCTCAGGAGTGAAGGAAATAAAGAAAAATCGTATTTTTAGGCATGAGTTTCTACAGGGAATAATTTTTAGTGATGGGGTTATCTGCTATCAATTATAGCAGCAGTAGATTTGAAAATTACAGAAAGTGCCTTTTGTTCACGTGGTACTTTGACAGCAGTGACAGGCTCCACAAAGGAGAAAGCCCCTGGGACGTGAAATGATTTTAGACGTGAGTTTCTTATTGTCAAAGAGCAGGCATTTATGAGGGGGTTTGAGGGTGGGGAGAAGATCTCTGATCTACTCCAGATCTTTTCTAGAAGTTTATTAGGACAGGCTGTTCCTCTCCCCCAGATTTCATGGCGTAAGTTGATTTACAAATGGAGCACGGTTTGAACGAAACCATCCCCATGGACTTGACTGCCCCCTGAAGGCAGTAAGTACATAAATAACTCCAGCAGAAGGCAGCCCAGAAGAGTTAAGAGAGAAGGACAAAAGCGCTTTGAGGCCATTTCTGTTAGGTACAAAGACAAATGTCGGAAGCTCCGCTGCTTCTAATTTTTTATCAGATGGTGGAGGGTTGGGCCTTTGGCTGGAATTTGCTGGTCTATTATTATATCTGCTTTCCACTGTATCCTACAGTGGCTATTTTTCAATACATAGGATTTAGCTTTACCAAAGCATTTTTTAAAAGCACTTACGATTTTTTTTTTAAAATGTTGGTATTAGTGCACTTAAGCTGTGGGAGACAGTGGTGCTCTGGTCAAGCCAAGACCAGATAAATCTGCCCTCAGCATTCCAGGGAGGACCCCAAAAGCAGCAACTGTGCCCAGCACTAAAGGGATCAGAAGGCATTTGGTGAAGCCCTTGTCACTTCTTCTTCTTCTTTTTTTTTTGGTTGTCTTTATCCCTCACTAAACATTGATCTCCCCTGAGAACTGAGCTGGATTAAAATCAAATCAGTTATCTCGAGGGGATCCAAGTGGCCTCTCCTAAAAAGACATTGCCAATGCCCTCTCTCTGCTTCATCTCACTTCTATTTACTGTATTTACTGTACTAGTTCCTGGTGTCTCCTTGCCAGCCCAGAAGCTATGGGAGGGCAGGCGTGTCTGTTCACCCCCAGATCTCCAGGGTCCTCACCACATCCCTGTGCTGGGAACAAATCATTTTCTTCTTCAGTAAGAAACAGGGCAACACGTATTGAGTTCTTTTTTTTAAAAAAGCATGTATTGCTGAATTTGTGTTCATTATTGAATATTTAGAAAACACAGAAAAGAACCAAAAGGAAAAGTTATCAACAATAGTTATTATGGCATATTTCTTTGCAGAATTTTTTTTGTATGTGTAAAATCTGATAGCCTGTTTTTTTCTTGCTTAGCACAATATCATAAATGTTTTCTTTTACTTTTATTTCTGTATGTATTGAGCACCTACTGTGTAGCAGGAACTGTGCTAGGCCCTGTAGATGCTTGAGATGGACCTTAAAATGCAAAGGGGTATTTCCAAAGCAGAGAAGCAGGGGACCCATAATTAAGGCAGAGGGACTCCACCTTCAATATTGTGGACAATGAACTTTAAGCTAACAAGGGCAGCCAAAAAGGACACCATAATAGAAATTTGCAGCTAGATCTAGTGTCTTATAATGACCCTACCAGAAATACTTACTTGATACAATAGGAAATTTTCCAGGATTTGTCAAAATCCCAGAAAAGGACAAAATTGCAGTCAGTAAGGTCAGTTTTTGAATGGGGCCATTTCCTAAGCAGTCTTTCTGTTAAAGACATCGATGTCTTAAAAATGAGGATTGTGATGAACTGTCTTGGCCCTGCTGTCAGCCAATCAGAATGGACACTGGGTGCCATGTTGGATCAAGGTCTGAAGATGCCCACCAGACTGTACCGTGACATTGGCCCCTACGTTGACTGATCACAGGGAGGTCTGGGGAGTCCTAAGGAGAGGCTGGATGGCCAAGGAAGTGATGGGTGACACTCAGGGACGCAACTGCTCACCAACTGGAACAGTAGTGCTTCAGTGGTTTAAGAAGCATACACTGTACAAGTGCATCCTGGCCACAAGACCTACCTGGAGAGCAACTTCTTTTCTTAAGTTGCTAACGTGCGCTCTTAGCTGTCAGCGGGCCTGCTGCCTGTGACACAAGAGCCGTGGTTTGCCATCCTTTGAACTTGAGCAGGTGGAATATGATTTGGGGCAGACACTAGGGAGAGGGGTTCAGAGCCAGTCCATGCAGCTGGCTCTGCCCCCCTCCTTCCTAAAGAACCTCCTGGAAAATTCACTCTAACCCAGGCTCCCACTGAGCAGTCACACCTCCACTCACGTACACACAACGTGGCTGAGGTCTTCAGAACACACGGGGCTCCATGGTGGAGGAAGGCATCTCCCAGGGTGAAGAACACGCAAAATGGTCATGTAGGGACTCAACTCCTGAACAAAGGCCAGCATCTCCCAAGAGGCCTCTCGTGCTGACCAGCCAGCTCCAAGCCCTATCCCAGTACCTGTATTTTCTGCTTAGGTGAAGGGACAACGTTCCCAGTTACCTGGACTGAGAACTATGGCACTCTCCCTGAACCTCAGCTTCCCTACTGATCTGGGTGAGAGGATAGCTGGGGCTGAAAGACAGTTTTCCAATCAAACTATCAATGACTGAGCAGGGGCTATCAGGGTAGGCCCTGGACTAGAGGCCTGACATGATGTCCTGTAATCCTCACAGCACCCTATGAGGTCAGTAGCTATAATTCCCACGTTGCAGATAATGAAAATAGGGCTTTCGTATATGTCAAGGAATTCTGGGGATACTGAGGGGCTCAGAATATAACTTGCTTAAGGATTCACAGCTAGTCAGCAGCAGAGCTGGAGTTTGAACACAGGCATGTAAACCATCACCCAAGTTCTATTAGGGCCACACAGGAGACAGCCTGAGGAGGCGTATGGTGGGGTCAGGACATTTGAGGAGAGGGGACCAAAGCTCTGGGAAGCAGTGCTGGGAGCGAATACTTCCCCTCCCCCACCCCCTGCCCCAGGTTACTTTTCTCCCAACCCTCCCAAAAATACACAGATATGGAGCTCCACAACAAAAGTTATTGGTAATAATTAGCTAACCCTTTATACTTGCAACATAAACTCAGAAGATGCCCTTGGATGCTCTAGAAATGGGGATGTCAAAGCAGGAGAAGAAGAGGTGAACAAGAGGTGGAGTCAGCTCGAATGGCAGCTGTCATCCGTGCTTCTGTCCTGCAGCACAAGGCACTCAGATTGTCTGTCGACCGCCTCCTGCCCTGAGGCTTTCAGATCCAAAAGCAAGTTACTGAGTTTAGCATAGCGGGCAGGAAGACAGAGGTTCAGATGGCATCTCTGTCGGACACTGGCTCTGAGATCTTCAGACAGTTTCTTAGCTTTTCTGCATCTTAATTTCCTCATCTGTAAAAAGGTCATATATCTCAGAGTTGCTGTGAAGATTAAATAAGATAATATTTGTGAAGTGCTTAGCGTGGCATCTGGCACAGTGCAAATCCCTTAATAAAGAGAGTTATTAACATGAAATTGTTTTCTTGTGAATTATTTTATCAGAAATTTATGGAATAATTCCTTTATTACTAGGTTACGAACTTAAAAAAACCTAACTTTGGAAAACACGGAGAAAGGAAAGATGAGACACAAGTTGTAATATTGTCTAACTTAATTTTTATAGGAGACGTGGAAATTGACACTAGAGAAGGCAAGACAGATTGTCAAGAAATCCCCAACTCTGGTAAGCAACCAACGGGGAGAATGCCAGCATTTTCCTTGGCACGTTCACCTCCAAAGGCCAGGGGCTACCCCGGACGCAAACCCACAACACAACACGCCACAGATGAATTGGGTTGGAAGAGGAATATGAGCCCCTACCTCTTTTTTCTCCTCTCTTCTCTCTAGAGCAGCGTTTCTCAACTCTGGTTGTGGGCACCGTCCTGGGCATTGTAGGATGTTAGCAGCATCCCTGTCCTCTACCCACTAGGTGCCAGCACCCACCCCCACAATAGTCATGACAGCCAAAAATGTCTCCTGGCATTGCCAAATATCCTCTGGTACTCACTGTTGAGAACTGCTGCCCTCCGGTAGACCGTATTGGAGGAGGCTGTATGCTCCTGCTTCTCCACTTTCTATATATGTGATCTAGGCTGAGCCTCCGTTTCCCTATCAGTGAGGTAGGGACAATAACAGTGTTCCTTTCTCAAAGCATGGATGTCAGGACTAAGAGAGTTGATGTGTGGGGGGTGTCTGGTATCATGCCTGGGACTTATCAAGCACTCTATATATGCCAGCTAAAATCATCACCATTATTATTCTTTTCCTCTAATTTTTCCTCTTTGCAATCATAGTTTTATTCAACAGAATGCCTAGTTCAAATCAGTTATCATTAAGTATTTGACTTGGGCCCTGGTGGCCAATCAGCCCCAGTTGAAGAGGAAGCAGAAAGGTAAACCTTTAAAGAACACTGTCTCCCTAATGCTAGCAGTCCTGGCAGGAAGGAAGCATTCATCAGAGATGAGAGGGCATGGCCTTCGTCCTTGGCTTCTCTCTACTAGCCCTGATTCAATACATTCAAAGTAGTATTGATTTGGCAACATGGAAATAAAGGGGAGGAAAATTCCTCATGGCTTGGTTTGTCAGACTTAGCAAATAAAAACAGAGGATGCCCAATTAAATTTGAATTTCAAATAAATAATGAATAATTATTTAGTGTAAGTATGTCCAGTACAATATTTTATTTGGCAACCCTACTTGTGGTGGGCACATGGGTTTTGACGTACAAGGCTGATACATGTTGCATGACAGTATGTGGGCATTTCTGCACAATTGATTAATCAATCACAATGCCTGCATCTCCAATTATTATTTAATTCAGTGAGTAATTAAAGGCCAACCATAGCTGGTTCAGCTAATCTGCTTAAGTTATTGAATAAGAAACTGAAACATCACATGAAACCCTTGACCACCACCTTCAGAACTCTAAACAGACTGGAGAATAATACCGTTTCTCTCTTATTCTTCTCAACATGCATCTAAAAACTTATTCTCAGGACATCGTTTACTTCACTAGTACAAACTGCCTTGGCATTAACTCAAAGACTAATTAGGACTTTATAATTTTTCATTTCTGTCACCAGAATTGTGAGCATAATTCATGGGGCACGATTCCAATCATGACTTGCAAGAAGCCAAAAAAAAAAAAAAAAATCAACTGAACAATTCACCAATTAAAAAAAAAAAAAACTCCTCAAAAACCTCCTCCAACTTATTTACTCTCTAGATTAAAGCTATCAGGGAAAAAAATAATCAGGAAATGCAAATAAGCATCTTGAAAAACTGCTCAGAAGATATTGGCTGCAATTAACTCCATTGTGAAGGTTGATGTAACTGCCGACCTAGCCAGAATGTGGAGAGAAACAGAATAGGTTGCGTGTCATTTCAGCACAGCCTGTCAGATGGAGAATCCAGACTGGGGAAGAGTTTAGTGTTACTGAAGGGAATGGAATGTTCCAGAGAAGATCTGCCTCTCAAGGAGGTCCCGAGAGGCTCCTTGGGGGGTCTTCGTGGATTTGGCAGAACACTAAGCATCTGAGGGTTTAGAACACCTGAGTCATGGCATCAATTTATTTAATTATCACAAAAACTCCTACAAAGTAGATAGCATATTTCTGTTATCAACCCCATTTTACAGATGAGAGGACTAAGGATGAGAGGTTAAGTAATTCCCTCACTCCACATAGCTAATAAGTGAGAAACCCATAATTTACATCCGGATTTAGCTTCTTCCAAGTTTCTACCCCTTCCACTATTCCAATAGCTCTCAACCAGACCTCCTCAGTACTGAATTTCAGGAAGCACCCTTCACATCACAGGCTATGTGAATATTAGAATCTTGTAATGCACAACCTGTACTGCTGTACGTGATGGCCGTGATTTCCAACCTACCTACTCAACAGAACCATCTGGAAAGCCTTTAAAAATTGCTGCTGTTCAAACTTGCCCCAAGTAAAATAATCCAAGTTAAATTCAAGTAAAATAATACACGGCAATGGTTTAAAAGCACTTCATCACACAGAAATTCAATCTTAAGTTGACTGTGTACAGAAGAGATGTTATGCTCCCGCTTTGACCCTCTATTTACCCCATTCACCTCATTCCATTTATTCAACCCCTATTTGTTGTTCTGTATTCATTTAACATCCTGGGGTGGGAAAGCTCCAGATGCAAGCAGAAGCTGGTTAAATAGATGGCAAAATAAAGATGCTGCCTGACTCCTGTGCCCTGGGACAGCCCGGATTTGAGACTTTCATTTTAGATGGGATTACATGCGGACAGATGTGATGTTTTAAATCCATTGCTGAGTTAATAACAGCCCACATGCTGCCTCTAACTAGTAAGGTTTGAATTGAAAGGAAGGGGCTGTCAAACTTGCAAGTGAGGACCTCTGCACTGTTGCTCTGTGTCCATCTAAGTTCCCTTTGCAAGTTTATAAGAAGAGGTTAGTCCTTCCCGTACTGTGTGATGAAAAGGCTGCATGATCAAACAGAGGGAATTCTGGGGGTCCCTGGACAAGTTGCATCATCTATTGCCCACATCCTAGATCTAATTTCTGCACAGTGAATGTCAAAGACAGCTGCAGCCTTCAGGCTGAATTTTGACAGTGAACAGCTGTGCAATTATAACATTTTATTCCATTGTATCTCTTGTATAGTAATTATCAGGCTGTTGTATAAATTTTTTAATGTATTGGTTATCATCAGTATTAAAATCTACATTGCCATTTCGTTCATTAGACCAAGGCCTTCAGACTAAAGTAAATATTAAAAGAAGTAGCTCACACATTCAAATGCAGTCTGACTCTGGGTCTTAGAATGTGTCTCTTTCCAAATTGCCACCGATGTTGGGTATAATTGCACGCTGGTGTTTATTTTACAGTGTATCTACACTGCTCATCTCAATCAGTTACCAGGTCTCTAAACACCCCTCCTTTGCACCACCATCCTCCCCCTCCCACCTCACATCTGTGGTTCCCAACCAGGGGTAATGTTGTCCTCCCTCCTCCTCTCCTGGAAAAGTTGGCAACATCTGGAGACATCTGGGGGCTTCTGGCATATAGTGGCTAGATGCCAGATATTCTGCTAAACATCCTACAATGCACAGGACAGCCCACAACAAAGAATTATTCAGGACCCAATGGCAGTAGTGCTGAGGTTAGAAACCCCGGGATCACATCTCGGATCCTTATCTGCCAACAGGTCTCTCTGTCCCATATTGCTTCCTCGAGGCCTTCATGTCACCTGCAGAGATACCTTTCCAAAATACAAATGTGATCCCTCTGCTTAAGACCTTCCAGGATTCCCCACTGTCCTCAAGATAGCACGTAGTGCAGTGTCCTAGGCTTGTCCTAATGTCTCCTTCCTTCCATGGTTCACCGTGTTCTCCCAGTTCCTTATACTCCAGCCAGGTTGAAATGTTTGGCAGTCCCCCAGGACTCCAGCCCAGCTCATGTGCCCGCAGCACTGCAAGGGAGCTCCCTCTACCAGCGGCCGTGCTTTTCCAGCTTTGGTGTGTACTCCAGCCACCTGGGACCTTGTTAAAATGCAGATTCTGATTCAGCAGGTCAACTGAATCTGGGGCCAGAGACTTTAGTCCTGAAAGTTCCCAGATGGCCTCAATGCTCCTGGTTTGTGATCACACTTTCATCAGCTAGAACCTAGAGCAGTGGTTCTCAAACCTTAGTGAGCATCAGAATGACGGGGAGGCTGTGAAAACACAGATTCCTGGGACCTACCCCAGACTTTCTGATTTACTAGATTGGGGCGAGCCCATGAATTACATTTGTAACAAGTCTGCAAGCTGTACTCGGAGTTGAAAAGCATAGAGCATCTGTCTCTTCCTTCCCACCTGCCTCCTATCTGATTTCTGGGTCCTTGCCTGCCTCCTCCTCCAGTTCCCAGAAAGCCATATTAATGCCTGGACCACCACGGACATCACAGAGCATGCTAAGAGCTGGGCTATTCACCCCGACGCTCCACTAGACAGTAAGCTGCATGACAACAAGGACAGTCTTTTCTGTCTCCAAATCTTGCATGCTAATCAGCGTTTTTCCTCATCCTAGAAAGTTGGGCAGGCAACCTGAAGATCCTTAAAAACCTCATTTATAACCAGAAAAGGTTACCTGTTCACCTTTGCTAGTGTCAAAATATTACCAATGCTGTTACTACCACTCACAGCCATCTGAAGAACTTTTCGGGCTAGAGGGAATCACTACAGGTTTCCCCGCTATCCAAAAGTAAAGCATTCCTATGAAGTCTTTCCTAAGGCAAAGAAGCAATTACCTTAGGACACATCTTGCTAACAGATGCACAAAATAAACTGAGATCAAGCACAGAGGCTCACAGACGCAGTTCAAAGCTATGGTGGCCTGATGCTGAGATGCTCAGTGTGGTTTCTGGGGAAGGAGCTGGGCAGTGCCCCTCTCACTGTTCAGGGTGCTCGCTGCCTCTCCACTGGCTCCTGAAAAACAAACGATGAACGTTATTTTTGCTTTGTTTTTTTTTTGCAGTACACGGGCCTCTCACTGCTGTGGCCTCTCCCGTTGCGGAGCACAGGCTCCGGACACGCAGGCTCAGCGGCCATGGCTCACGGGCCCAGCCACTCCGCGGCATGTGGGATCCTCCCGGACCGGGGCACGAACCCGTGTCCCCTGCATCGGCAGGCAGACCCTCAACCACAGCGCCACCCAGGGAGCCCTATTTTTGCTTTTGGCATTTTTTTTTGTGTGAGAGCAAAAAAACTTCTTTGGATTTCTTTCAGTTTGTGAGGAGGTAGTAACCTAGGTCTTTCACAGAAACAAAGTGGTGTGAAGCGAACTTTTGAAAAGCGCACTATCTCTCCCTTTGTTGATAAATGCTGGTTCCTTACATTTTCTACCCTGTTGATTTTTTCTTTTGTCTGAGAAAAGCATCAAGGGAACTGCAATCTTTCTAAAATCATTACTTGGTAAAAAGCCAGGGCTTTTAATTTATCCCACAAGCTAGAGTCTTATGGAAACTGCTGTTTGAAATCCCTTTGTTCGGGAAGCTTTGAGGGACTTCATCTACACACCCCTCCTTCCTCTACCCCGCCTCCCCCAGGGAAGGGACCTTCCTTCTTCCTTCTTCCTAAGCCGGTGTCTCTCCCATTAGTCTTTATTTTATCTCATAACAGGAAGGAATTATTTTATTTGAAAACAGTCTTTATTTTCAAATCCTTTTTTAAAGCCACTGAGGGCAGTGAGGAGAGGAACGTTGTCTGAGTAGAATGGACCAAGATGGGCCAGACCCTTTTGGGAAGAGGTGGAAAAGAGATGAAGGTGGGACTAGCTGGCTGGGGGAGAAGGGGAAGCCTTCAGGCTGACGAGCCGGCATGAACAAAGGCACACAGGTGGAATGAATATGGAGCGTGGAAACAGGAACAAGAGGTAAATTTAGTTAACTAAAATGACCCAGATTCTGGAGAAAGAAGAGTCCAGAAATCCAAACTGTGGAGCCAAGAGGAGAGGAAGGGCCTTGAGAAGTTGGAAAATCATCCCTTGAACTAAACAACTCTTTTTGTTTTTCTCTCCAGACATATTCCAGAAGTGGTTCTGATATTTGTTCGCTCCCATTTTTGGCCAAGATCTGTCAGAAGATTAAATTGTACGTATACAAGTTCCCCTTCCTAAGCACTGGCAGGGGATAGCATCTTTGGTTGTCCCTGTTTTCTAATGACTAAAATGATCTTCAAGTTAAAAGGCATCTTTCTGAAAGTGAAAGTGTTTCTTGCTCACGACTTGTACAGAAACTAGAAGACAAATTAGCTCAGAACAAATCATTTTGGAAATATACTGAATACCAGCATCTTTGAACCTCCAGCCTGACTTACTGCCCCGGACTGGAATGCAGCCTGCCTGCCGGTGAGACTTGTGAGTGGCTCAGTGCATGCTCGCACCGCCTCTGGGGACAGGACAGCTCCTCCTTGCTGTGTAAGGTACAGACAAGGTTGGCCAGGGACTCTTTGAGCATCTTTAGAACAAGGCACTCACAAGGCTGGAAAAGGACCATTTTTTCACAGAGCCCAACCTATTACCTAGAAAATCTAGCTCTGCTATGTATGAACAGGATTCCTAATACAGAGACACGGTCCAAAGTTCCCAAGCCCTCCTGTCTCCGTTTAAAATCCCATGCTCCCTCCAGCTGCACTCTGAGTCTGAGGTTATGCTGGGTGTCATAGTAATCACCATCCAAAACATTAAAAGGTGGAACAGTCCTGCGAGGCATGTTGGACTAAGCGGCAAAATAGCGTAGGTCCACCTTCCACTCGGCTGCTTCCCATGCGACTGTGGCAGAGGCTGCTGCCAGGCAGTGTATGGCACTGTTCTGGGGTCCAGATGCTGAACTTTCAATGCACTTCTGCACTGAGTTCTCACAATTCCATGAAGTAGGGATTATCATTATTTCCATTTCGCAGAGAAGGAAACTGAGTCTTACAGAAGTAACTCCTCCCAGCCATGAGGACCCAAGATACACCCCCAAGAATATTGGACCCCACTTGTTCTTTGGAAACATCCAGTTTCTTGACTCTTGTGCAACGCTGCCTCTTGAGCCAACTTTGAAGACTTGAGCCACTTAATGTCTCTGAGCTTCAGTTTCCCCATGTTGAAACTCAAGCTATAGACCCATTTGGAAAGTTTTAAAAATGCAGACTCCTTGGCCTGAGACCTGGTGGGGCAGCGTGGCATGTTCCTAGGTTCCTGGTTGACTGTGTCCTCCCTAGCGCTCTCACATTCTATTTCAGGAGGCAGACCGCAGATGCACCCTGTACAGATGACGCTTTAATGACTCAAAATAATGTTCCTTCACTGTGAGACATTCACAGAGACCGCTTGGTCTGCCCTGGCCCCGCTGCTTTTATTCTCACTCTCCCATAGGCAGTTCCTATCACTTGAGTGCATTCCGGTCCAGCCTGGCTCTCATGGTGGGGAGTTAGAGGGAAGAACTCCCCAGAGGTGACAGTCAGGCTGAACATCTGGACTGAGAGGCTGTATTGGTTTCCGAAGGCTGCTGTAATAAAATACCACAAGCTAGGTGGCTTGAAACAACATAAATGTATTCTCTCCCTGTTCTGGAGGCTGGAAGTCTGAAAGCAAGGTGTTGGCCAGATCCCTCTGAGACTCTGCTCCCTCTGAGCTTCCCTCAGGGACTCTGGGTCGAATCCTTCCTTGCCTCTTAGCTTCTGGTGGTGCTCGTCCATCCTTGGCAACCCTGGGCTTGCAGCTGTGTCATTCCAATCTCTGCTTCCCTCTTGTTATATAGCCGTCTTCCCTGTGTGTCTGGTTTTCCTTTTGCAACCAGTCATATTGGATTAGGGTCCACACTTATGGCCTCATCTTAATTCAGTAACATCTGCAAAGACCCTTTTTCCAAGTAAGTTCACATTCACAGGGAGCAGGGGTTAGAACTTCAACATTTCTTTCTGGTGAACACAGTTCAACCCACAATAGAGGCCCTTTTCTTATGTTCCTCCATCCTTCATCTCATGAGCTTCATGGACGCTAAACTCATTGAACATCCCCCGTCTGCTTTGAAAGTATCTCAGGAGAGGAGGCGGCTGTGCATCTGACCCACATTCAGAGCCTCTTAGGGATCCAAGAGTTTAAAAACTTTTCCTGGTTCATCTGCCCACATAAGCTCCTGCAAGCCAACTGTGCAAAGTGCGGACTTGGATCCTGGAACACTTATCAATCTCGCTTTTCATGAATAGAAGTGGAGGCAGAGACCATCAGGACATGAGGAGTAGAGGGGAAATATCGGACATGAAAGAAAGTGAGGGAGGCTAAGATGCAGCCAGGTCCCAAGCCCCCGACCATTTCATCATGCTTAGCTCTTGTTGAATCGAGACCCCTGTCCCCTCCTTGCTGAAAGCCTCATTGCATTTTCTGTGTCAAACCAAACGTGGGCCCTCAGGACCTAAAACGACAACTCTTCAATTGAACCACCTTTGAAAACCTGAATTCAAGAGCATCTGTGGCCAGGGATTTTCCTGGCCCAGTTTCAAAGGGAAATTTTTTCATGAAAAAGCAAAAGCAGTATGTTTTTCTTCTTTCTAAAAATCATTGTGCTTCTAGTATAATTCGTACCGGGTCATGAATTATTCAGTGCTGCATGGGTTATAAAGCACATTTAAATGCAGCCTCGTTTATTCTTTAAAACAACCTGTGGCTCAGTAATAATAATGACAAGTAAAAGTTATCTGATACTGTCTCTGCACCAGGAACTCTTATAAATGCAACCCTGTTAGACAACATTTTTTTGGTCCCCTTTTTAAAGATGTAAAGCCGTTTGTCCAAGGTCACAGAACTAGTCATGGATAAATATGGTGTTTGAACCCAGCAGCCTGGTTATAAAGGTCAGGCTCAGAGCCACAACATTGCCTGTCCCTTGACTCAGAGCCTCACTTTCAGATGAGCAAGTCGGTTCTAGTTTATTTAATACTTGACCCACTAGCACAGTCAGCAGGAGGTAGAGACAAAGACCTATGTGTCTTCTGTTACATAATCCTTCCCTAAAATCCCCTCCAGTAAGAATGCCTTTCTGGCTCTGTGCCTCTCTTGTCCCCATCCTGTTTGGTCTAATGCCTTCATAAACAAGACGAAAAGACAGCTCTCAGAATGGGAGAAAATATTTGCAAATGAATCAATGGACAAAGGATTAATCTCCCAAATATATAAATAGCTCATGCAGCTCAATATTAAAGAAACAAACAACCCAATCCAAAAATGGGCAGAAGATCTAAATAGGCATTTCTCCAAAGAAGACATACAGATGGCCAAGAAGCACATGAAAGGATGCTCAACATCACCAATCATTAGAGAAATGCAAATCAAAACTACAATGAGGTATCACCTCACACCAGTTAGAATGGGCATCATCAGAAAATCTACAAACAACAAATGCTAGAGAGGGTGTGGAGAAAAGGGAACCCTCTTGCACTGTTGGTGGGAATGTAAATTGATACAGCCACTGTGGAGAACAGTATGGAGGTTCCTTAAAGAACTAAAATTAGAACTACCATATGACCCAGCAATCCCACTACTGGGCACATACCCAGAGAAAACCATAATTCAAAAAGACACATGCACCCCAATGTTCCTTGCAGCACTATTTACACTAGCCAGGACATGGAAGCAACCTACATGCCCATCGACAGACGAATGGATAAAGAAGATGTGGTACATATACACAATGGAATATTACTCAGCCATAAAAAGGAACGAAATTGGGTCATTTGTTGAGACATGGATGGATCTAGAGACTGTAATACAGAGTGAAGTAAGTCAGAAAGAGAAAACAAATATCGTATATTAACGCATGTGTGTGGAACCTAGAAAAATGGTACAGATGAACTGGTTTGCAGGGTAGAAGTTGAGACACAGATGTAGAGAACAAACATATGGACTCCAAGGGGGGAAAACTGCGGTGGGGTGGGGATGATGGTGTGCTGAATTGGGCGATTGGGATTGACATGTATACACTGATGTGTATAAAATTGATGACTAATAAGAACCTGCAGTATAAACAAACAAACAAACAAAAAGACAACTAATACTAAACTTTCTTTGGGTTATTTGTATGGAAATATGTTAATATAAACGTTTCAGACATTACATGAAATTTCTAAAAGTCTTATATGTTCTGGTATGATGTTATAAGTTATAATTCTAGTTATTACTTTAAAATATATATCTCAGAAATAACTAAATTTCCTTGTCAATTGCAAAAAAAAAAAAGCCAATGGAGGTGTCTCCACCCATGGGCAGCTTTCCAGCTCCCAGCCTAGCTCCGGTCGCTTGCCTAGCCTCCTGCATACTCCATGCTTGCTGGTACCTGCTCCTGCACCCTGTTCTTCTCTGGCTGCTTCCCCATCAGTCTCCCACCCCCACCGACAGCTCTTGGAGAGCAGGGATACCATTTCTTGGTAAACTTTTTATCCCTGGTTCCTACCACAGTGCTTAGTTTTAGTAGGGACTCTGTAGAAACAAGGGAATAAATAAAGAAAAAGCACTACTTTATTAGAAAAACAAATGTTTAGGATACCAGGCTACCATGGGGCAACCAAGTTTTTGGTTGTTTTCTTCTGATCAGAATTCACAGTGCCTATATACTGCCTATTTTCTATTGTAGCAGTGGTAGGACAGGAGAGTCCCCTCTTAATAATTTAGTCTTTTTATTGAATTTCCAAATGCATGAACCCACATATGTATTATTTCACATAAATTCACACAGACTATCTTCTCTTACCTTAACTGTGGTTTGTTTTTGTTTTTTTTGCGGTTCGCGGGCGTCTCACTGTTGTGGCCTCTCCCGTTGCGGAGCACAGGCTCCAGACGCGCAGGCTCAGCGGCCATGGCTCACGGGCCCAGCCGCTCCGCGGCATGTGGGATCTTCCCGGACCGGGGCATGAACCCGTGTCCCCTGCATCGGCAGGTGGACTCTCAACCACTGCGCCACCAGGGAAGCCCTAACCGTGCTTTTAATTCGTCATTCTTTGCCTTTTTTCACTTGTTCCTTCTTGCCCTTGCCCTGCTCTTTCCTCCCACATCGTCCTTGTCCCCACCACAAGGTGAGCCGTGTAAATACGTCAGGATGTGTCCTTCCATGGTTTTCTCTGCTCTCATTTTATCTTACAGGGATGCACGTAACACATCCACACGCATATGAAACAGAGTCGTGCTGGCCCTGGAGTACTGCCTGGGACTCAAATATGAGGCAGATACACATGGAAATTTTATTCTCCCTAGTTTTCTTTTGTTGTAATGCCCCAGTTTCATGACATAATTTTAGGCACTTTGAACTTGAATAGCTCACCATTGTGTAACGAATGCCATTCAGCTGCAATCACAATTGCTCCCTGGGTCAAGGCTGCTAGCCCAACCCCAGATAGTCATAGGGCAGGAGCAGCAAGCAGGTGATTAGCTGCACCAGCCAACGTGGTAGCTGGGGTTCTAGGTATTTTCACTGTAAGTTTCTCTGCCTTAGACAGCCTTGCTGCCAAAAACATTTTTGCCACGTAACTAATTAGCCATGATTTTGCTGTAAAGGATAAAACAATGAAAAATAAAAGAGACATTAAGAAGGACATCATGAAACATGAAAAATGAATTACAAAATTAAAGAGACTTTATTGCTAAATACAGAACATCTGAATATATTTAAAGTGTGTGTATATTTCATGGCGATACTGCGCAAATGACTGATCTTATTTCGTGACTTGTACATAAGCACTTGTCTTCCAGGTTTTTCATTCTTAGTATTTTACACACTGTTTTTTCCTGTCGATTCTTCTCCTCATTTGGCATCACACTTTTTCTTTTTTGCTAAGATTTCTTCCTTCGTTAGGAGAGGTATCAGTTTCCAGATACTAGGATGCATGTTGATACCTAAGCTTTGTATTGTGTTGTGAAAGCCTCTACACTGTTGTGTTCTTGGCATCTTGTAACATGTCTGTTGATACACATTCCAAAGTTCTATGGGAAATGCGAGTTCAAATCTGCAACTTTCAGGCCCTCAACCTCTTTCTCCTCCATTGTAGTGTGCTTCAAAATCAGAAACCGGCTCCTGGGGCAAATCATCATCATCTGTCATGACTTTTGTATGATATATATCAAAACAAACTATCAACCAGTCATTTTACCTTTTATGGCAAAATTGTCTTATGACCAATTAGTTATGCAGTGAAAATGTTTACAGCAAAAATGCTTGCTGCAAAGGTGCTTACGGTAAAAATACCTAAAAATAGTGGACACGCATAACTGGACGGAACATTGTGTGGCTGGGAACCTGAAAATCTGAAGAGAATCCATGGATTGGATTCGAGATGTCTCCAGAAACTAAAATGTCATAAGAGCAGACACCTGATTCCTGTTTGCCCAACCCTAGAAACCATCCTTGGAATAACTGTTAGCATTGCACATAATAATGAAAAGAGCTAATATTTTGAGAGTACTTATCACATGCTTGGCACAGGTCTTCCTTGCTTCACATGTAACAATGCTATTAGTCTTTGCAATAGCCCTAGGAAGCAGGTACTGACACTGGCCCTGTTTACAAATGAGGTAACAGATGTACAAACAGATTAAATAAGTTGCCCAAAGTTACATACCAAGTAGACGGCAGACCTGGGATTCAAATCCAAGGAGTCTAATTTCAGAACCTAGAGCTATGTTAGGGGGCTTCCCATACTTTTCCTTCCTACTAGAGCACCCACACCCATCACCCAATTACTTGCTTTGAAAATGCGTTCTCATCCTTTAGCTTCCACCTTAAGATCACCTCCTTCCCTGTGTAGAGTTAGGAATGTTTTCCCTCCGGGTGCACAACCCTCTTATAGAATTTTCTCCATAGCACTGTGGTTATCTGTTGATGCCTTGTTTCCTGCCACCCATCATTAAGCTCTTCTAGCATAGGAAATGCATCTTATATTCAGCCTTAATATCTAATATGATGCCTGGCACATGCAAGGACTTCAAAAATGGCTGTGGAATGAATGAATGAATGAATGAATATTTCAGCATACAACCAGATACCTGTAAGGATACACAAGATATCAAGTTTAGATCCAATTTTGCAGAAGTAATAGTAGTGAAAGTCAACAATGCTTTATCCAAAACAGAGCCAGATGTGATTTCGAATTCGGATTTTAAGAAAGTAACATACTATATACCATAACTCACCTAACACTCCCAGCACCTCCTAATCAAACAAATTTATATATCAGCAATGAAATATATGGATAGTCACACTAAATAAGGTACAGCTTATGAATTGCCTTAGACCAGTTTGGGTCAAGTTTCGCCACCAAACGTGTTAGCTGCAAAGTTGAAAATAAGAAACAACTCTTGGTGTTCAGACCTGTTTGGATCTGGGGGCTATGAATAAGGGATTGTGGAGTTTATGTAAATTGCAATTTATGTGACTTATGATGACCAATCTACCCTCTCGTGTCTAGAATGTATGTCGTCACTCTGAGCCTTTAAAATAAGCAGGTAAAGGTTAATTTAATGAACTAAACTTCTAATTCTAGAGACAACTCATTGTTCCTTCCTTCAAGGACAAACTCTCATCCCCGAGATGGCAAAGGTGGGAAGGGGTAGCTTTGTCATCCTCAGTGAGACCTTTCACCCAGAACCTTTTCTCAGACTGAAAATATAGCTCTTTGGGTCTGTTCGTCCTCTCTTTCTCTCTCTCCATCTCCCTCTCCCTCTGTGTCTTCCCTCCTTTTCTCATCTAGAAACATAAAATAGCTATCCAAGAGGTCAAATATGTACATGGGAGAAAACTACCTAGTCTTACAGGAGATGTCATCTCTCAAGAGGTCTATTAATGTGGACTTGCGGTGGGTCCACCATCTCAGAGCTCATAAGACAGGCTGCATACCACCAGTTAGGCTCCATGCTGGCTTTGGCTGAATTCACTTGACTTGAGACTCTCAGAACTGCTGAGAAGCTCTTGATTCAAAAGACCATTTACTAAATCCTATAAAGGGTCATGTGACTCCGTCTATATTCTAGGCTCCAGGAATAACCTCACCCTGCCATATGATGGCACTTCCCTGCTACTCCGTAAGTGATTTTCCTAGAGGGAAACAGCATTTGCCTTTGGAAGCTGGGAAAAGTCTGGTAGTGAGATCTCAGGGGAAATCCTCACTCGGGGGTGTGTCCATGGTTTTGGCATGAATTGCTTGGTCATCAGTCACAACAGAGCCCTTGGTTCCCCAGGCTCTTGAATGGGAGTGACAACTAAATTTTCAGATTCTCAGAATAAGTGGTTTAAAAGAGGAGAATCTTAAGAAAAGATTTCCATCACAGAATGTGTAAACTGTGTAGTACTGAGCTCGTTGACTGGACCAAAAACGTAGGTTCTTTCCTGAGGACCTCAACAGCCATATCCCGTGCCCTCTAAAACTTGAGTTCATTATATTTTAACTCCCCGTATAGGTCAAGTAAAAAGTCAGAGAGAAAATAGTTCTGTTGAGTGGAGAGCAGGGATGAGCAAAGTTTGACTGGTACTCTTCATTTTATTTTTATTTTATTTTTTAAATTTTTATTTAGGTCCTTAATTTTATTTTTAGAATGGGGTTCTGTCATATAAACTCAACACAGCCATATCTAAAAATGTCTCTATTTGTTTTCACAAACACCATTTGTTTTTTCTTAGCTCACCAGGTGTTTTTTTTCTTTTAGGGCTATACAAAATTCTTTACCATTCAAAGATGCAGATTCAGACAAATACAGTGTTTTCCCAGTAAGTATCATTAAGACTAACCAGATGTTTGCTAAATATTGCATCGCTTCCTATAAATTTCTTTCCTTTAATAAGACAAGATTGAATGCCATTTAAATGTATTATTAATGTGATAATACACATTTTATGATGTTTACAGACTTTTTGGTATCTTACTAATACATGGACCATCAAAGTGGATCTTAGTCCTAGACTGTTTTCGTTTCCTAAAGCCATTCCCAGCTGGAATTCTCCACGGGGATAAGTTATCTTGAAATGTGTTGGGAATTATTTTCAAAATTCTTAAACGTATTTTAACTTAAAGTGTGTGTGTGTGTGTGTGTGTGTGTGTGTGTTTATGTCTGTGTACACATGTTAGATTTAGAACAGTTAGGATGTCAGAATGTTCTCTGAGAAATTCAAGCAAGCAACAGATGTCGCAAACTCTCCAAAGTAGGCGGGATCTCAAATACTCTACCTGGGAATGTGAGAAATAAAAACATTGTTTGACATTATCATGACTCTTGATTCTTTCAAATCAGACATGTCGAAAATATAATAAATCCACACAACTAACCAGTTTGGCTAGAGGTCTTTTAAATTATCCAGCAAAATGATTAATCACTGGACCAAATAAACCAATTGTTTTGGAGCCTTTGATAGAGAAAGTTCAGGGAGTTGGACGGTCCTGCTCTTTGTGGAAGTGCACATAGACGCATACACATGAACACACATGTACACAGACACGTGTATAAAACATGCATTCACATAACAACCCATGTGAATGCACACGTGCCCACATGCATGCACATTCACGCACATGCACCCCCATACACTCACATATCAGCACGCACACAACAACACATATACGCACGCGTACACACACTCTCACCTACACACACACTTCATCTGTGATTGGCCCTGGTACCATATTACATTTCACCTCACACAGGAGGTCTCAGCATATCATCTTAATTTTCTTAGTGATCTCTAGTGTTCCTAGACTGTATTTGGATTTAAAATGGCAGATGTCAGCACCCCTCAGACAGCTCTGATTGGCCTTCACTGTGGATAACGTCAAAGCAGAACTGACCCTTCCTGTGTGTGCTCTTCAATTTCAGACACTGCGGGGCTCTCACTGGCGAGGGAGAGACTGTAACGACAGCAACAAGATGGCATACCCAGGCAGAAGGTAACGGTCTCTGCTGGTCACTGATGTTGAAAATTACCTTCTGAAAAGGAGGCAGAAGGCATAATTATCTCCCTCAGCCTAGGGGATTCGTGCTTACAGAGAGAAGGGACCTCCATGTCCTAATTGAAGTAAAGCGCAATGAAAAAACAGTGTTTGTTCATTCATTTGCCCAAAAAATGCTCATCGAGCGTTGCCAAGCACTCTGCATCATGCTGGGTGGTAAACAAATAGAAATAGGCCTCCTCTCGAGGAGTTCACAGTCTAGTGGGAGAAACACGTGAGCAGACAGGTTATTGTGGACGTTTATCCAGCCTCCTGCACGAGTTCTACAGGCAGCCCTGGGCCCAGAAAGAGTAGCCTCTTCCACCAGGAGGAGGGCGACGGGGGCAGAAAGCAGAGCACAGGTCACATTTTAGTCCCAGGCTGATCACATCTCAGACTTCAGACTGGGTATGCCAGCCTTCATCTTAGCTGTGACTACAGTGTGGAAGCGTTAACCAGATGTTTGGGACTTTAGAGGCATAACTTTAATGGTGTCACCTGTCTAAATGAAATGGACTGCAGATGTGTTCATTATTCCTATCAATATCATTCCACAATAATACCTCCCATGAATATAGTCAATTGTGAAAAGACTGCATTTGGTCCACAGTTCCCAGCAAACATCCAAAGCCAAGAGAGTGGCAAAGAGGCCAAGTGAGGCTTCTGTTGCTACAACACACTATGGTGTGCGGCACTTTTCCCTGAAGAAACTGTCGTCTATCGAAGACACTTGGTGTAGCGCTCATTCATTCATTCCTTCATTTGTGAAGCTGACATTCAGAGTGATAAATACATGCCAAAGACCAATGTTGATGTTTTCTTCGTAGGCCAGACAACTGGGATACACATCAGGATTCAAACTGTAATGGCATTTGGGTAAGAGACTAAATTCAAATTTAACCCTGTTCTCTTGTTTTCCGCCCTCCTCAAAAGCCCATTGCCTGTTTGCTTCAGTCAGACCTAAGGAAGAAGATGACAGATTACAGCAACTCTTTTTCTGCTGTTTGGAAGAGGGGCATAGAATCCAATCACATGTGAAGAGTGTCCATGATGTAATGAGAGTTGAGGCTGTCTCTGTCACAGCCACTATAAGTCTTGCTTAATGTAACTCACATCTAATCCCTTTATTCTGTTTGGAACAGTGTGAAATTAAATGGAGAGTGGTGTTAGCAAAGTTTTACAGCAACCCAAAGAGCTATTGGAGCAAACCGCATGCTGTCACCATTTCATTGCAGCTATTTTTTTCTATTTCATAAGGCTAGTCAGGCAGAGTGGAAGTTATCTGTAGTTACCCCACTACCCACATCCTGAGGCACCTAATGCTGGTGCCCCAGTTCTCTATGAATAATAAATTAGCAGCTTCCAGGCAGAGAAAAGGAAAGGAAAGAGAAAAGCCAAACACTTAATCTTAGCACGGCAATGGCAGCAGACCCAATTTTGTGAGGTCTTGAGCTTATAGGATTTGAGGGGTCCTCATGAAGAAAAAGAATACCAAATACAAAATCAAGAATAAAAGTATAATTAATTAGAACAATAAAAGAAATCTTAACAAATTCCTGGAGTCTTGGAAATTTAGGTCCCTTTCTTCTGAGATCTCTTTTCCAATTTACCAGGAGTGCTTATGTAGAAATATTGTTCTGCGTGCAGCCTGGCTCCTCTCCACCTAAAACACTCTATAGCTCCCAGCTGCTCCCAGCACTCACACAGTCAGGGATCGTACAAACAACGAGCCTTGAAGTTTAAGATTCTCCAGCTTCAAGATAAATTGCCTCTGAATGGTTGCCTAATTTGTCTGCTTGGATGAAGAGGAGAAAGTTCCTGTAAATAGTTTCCTCTCTCCAGGACACTGACAGTCCATTTCTTCTGAGATATGGAGAGCAAGACAGATTGTATCCTGGTATAGCCCTACCCACCCACCCTATCATCAGTCACACTGCCTTTTCATGAGGAGGGGAAGACATGTCCCCTAGATCTTAAGGTGTTAAGGTGTCAAGACCCCCAAGGCAGCTCTTGTTCGATAAAGTCAAGCTTAGTTGTCATGTTGGAGGACATGGGGGGTTATTAGTGTGTGAAGCTGCTGTCTTGATTCCATGACCCCATCTCTGCCTCTGACATGGGAGCCCACCTACATAAGGAAGGCCAATAAGAGACTGCTAGACCAGTGGAAATCCACCAGGAGCCCAGGGAGCCAAGACTCAGCGTTTATCATCAGTAATAGGAGAAAGACACATGACCTTCATACCTATCCCTTTCCATGGAGGAAAAACGACTCACAGAATCACAAAATCATAAACTCAGAGAGGACTTTACAATCACTAAGTCCAACATTTCCCAAACTGTGTCCAAGAACTCCAGTGTTGAGTGGGAGGTTAAGAGGTAAGGGAGGAGGGGCGCTATAGCAAAGTTTGGAAAGTACTGGGTCAAATAAGCCTGAACAGTTTTCTTTACTTACGAATTTCTCAGCACCTTTAATGTTTTAATGCATGTTGGGAGTCCCCAAGACCAAGACAGTGAACACACTGTTTCCAGTACATCTCTGACCATCAGCTTCTTTCTTCCTAAAATACTGTTAATACCATTAATATCTAGTGGAATGCCAGTGCTCTCCAGACCAGAGTTTGGCAAACAAAAGAAAAAAAATTATATATATATATTTTAACTTTTTTAAAGTTATCCAGACTCTGCTCAAACCTTCCAAGGACCAGCTGCTCCACTAATGCACAGACTTAGCTTTAAGTGTTAGGAAGTGCCCTCAGCTGTGGTAACTCTGTCCCACTCACAGGCTCAACCTCACTTCTGGGTTTCTCAGTCTCATCATATCAACATTTGGAATCATTCTTTACGGTTTGGGCCGCCTTGTAAATTGCATGATGGTCAGTTGCGTCCCTGCCTCTCCCCACTAAATGCTGGTAGCTCCCACTCCCCCCATTGTAACAACCAAAGATGTCTCCAGGCATTGCCAAATGTCCCTTTGGATGGCTGTGGGGCAGGGGTGGGGGAGGGGTGCCTCAAAAGCAGCCCTGTTGAGAATCTCTGCTCTAGAAGCATCAACCCTTAGGCACCAGAGGTGTCAGGACACTTAGAGCTCCAACTCAGAGACTGCTGAACCCAGTCTGCCCCTGTGTCCCAGTCACTGAATGGACCCTCAGTGCTCCCTCCGGGTGATACTACCAGCACCCAGAGCCCTGCCCGGCATCCTTCTGAACAAGATGGTCCAGTTTCTGGATCTCTCCTTATTCCTGCCCCCGGTTCCTTAAAGCCCAATTCACTTACCTAGGATGTTGTTATGTTGGATTAAGGGCTCAAGAGACTTTAAAGGATTTTATCTACTGATTTGTTTTTGTTCCTTTAAAGCCATTTGGGAAGGATTTCGTGTTTGTGTCTCATAAATTTAAAAGCAAGCTGCTAATTTCATCATTTCTCTTAAAGGGTGTTGATCCAAAAGATGGAATTCCATACGAGAAGAAATTCTGTGAAGGTATGAATTGTAAACGTCAGTGTACTTATTCCAATAGAATATTCTTTTCTAGTCTGAGTCAGATTGAAGCAAACAGACCATCCAAGTGAGGAAGTGCCTGATGCTACAACATAATGTTGACCAATTTACATTTATTTTCGTGACAAATTAGAAAATGACATGAAAAATATTATAGACAAATGAGGCAGAATCAAGACAAAGCAAAACTGAATTTGTTTAATAGATTCCTTTTTTAGGGAATTGGAAACTTTAATGATAATATTAGAAAAGGCTGTAAGATAGATAACAGGGTAACTGAAATCCAGCACTTCTCCAAATAAGAAAATAAGTGGAGGTGATAATTTTCAGTCTTCTCTGTGTCCTCCTCAATACACTACAAGGTCAGACGTCTAGACTTGTACTGACAGAGTCCTTGTGTCGACTGGGCTAAAGACTCATATCTGGGTGACTTGACGGAGACCTCCAAGCAATAGCCATTGAGAGGTCCCAAAAATACCTGAGCAAAAGCTCTGTATTCTAAATGCCCAATGCCACATACACCTGGGCTACCAGTGTTCTTAGGAGAAACCTATTACCACCCACATAGTACTGAAAACATGGTCCTGGTGATGCCCAAAGAGTCTCAAACAAGACCCTATGGTAGCATCACTGTTTTATGTTTAGACAATGCTTTCCCCTAACATTTAGAAGCATTTCATTCATTCAACAGATATTTCCTGGACACCTATTCCTATTATGCACCAAGGGCTATACTTGGCTCTGAGTTTTTATGAGCAGACACGATACAGTCCTTGCCCTCAATCAACTTAAAGTCTAATTGTCTGTAAGCTATTAGAAGGACAGGATGGAGGTAGAAAATGTAAGGACCTGACACATAGTAATGCAGTTTAGAAATGCTTGTTGGATGATAAAGGAATGCATTAACAAATAGACAAATGAATAAGTAAACTCAGATCTAAGTGAAATCCTGGTGTGAGGCTCTGGGTTCACTGTGGGAAGCCTCTTGGATTCCCCAAATCCCAACCCCTCCTCAATGTCCTGGGCCTTCTCAGTCCCCATGTGTGTGGCCAAGTGCTAGCTGTCACAAGGTCCCGAGATAGGGAGCCGCTGGAGTGAGGCTGGGCCATCCTCAGCTTGATTTGGGGCCTTTGGAGGTGGAGGAAGTAGGCTCTCCTCTCTGACTCTGAGAGGCACTGATTGATTCTTTCAGGATCTTAAGGGATTTGGAAGAGTTCATGCATCACCCGTGGATGAATGATTCGTGTAGATGGGCCTTAGAATCCGATTAAGTGATTCTTAACCTCCAAACATATAGGGCTGCATAGAGATTTTATCTCTCCGTCTCCCCACTAATCAGCCATAATTGTCCATCCAGTGCTTTTGTATATATAGATTAAGGACGTTAAAAGACCATAACATCTTTGAAAAAAATCAAAATTGCTCCATGAGATTACTAATTCCTAAAGTGGATATTAACAGAAATGAGTGTGTTTTCCAAGGAAGCAATTTTCAGAACCAAAATTTAGGGCATATTTCTGAGTTCAGATAAAGTTTTGATGCTTTTATTCATCTATCATTCACTCAAGATGTTGCACAGGAGTTTGTTTTATGCTGAGCTAGGAAGCACACCTGCATCTGCATAGCTTAGCTGGCAAGTTTCGATGGCCTGGAGATCTCATTCAGCTCCTAAATGCTATGCCGCTCACTCTCCAACACTCGAAAAGTGGCAACGCATCACTGTTACGATGCTCTGTGCACAGAATACACACCAGGGTATGTGCTCACCTAACTACCCAAGCTGGAGGCTCCAAACTACTTGAGTGCATAAATAATGCAAATAAATTGTGCCACCTAGGTTCACAGCCCAGGGGAATCATTTTGCTGGGAGACTCAGCTGGGGCTCATTTTCACATCCCTCCCGATTGGATCACAGCTTCACAGATGTCTTTGGTAAGTAATTTGGGCAGTAATCATGTGGGATGTGCTGGCCTCTGTGTTTGTTTCCCCCTTGCTCTCTATAAATGTGATGCCAGATCCAAACAGGTGCAAATTTCCCTTCTCAGCACAATCTGCCATCAAAGGCGCATGCATAGCCATTTCAGTTCAGTTCAGTTCAAGCACTGTGGTAAGAACAACAGGCTCATAACAAGAGCTGTCTCGTCCATTAGAGAAGGAGGATGGTGCCCCTGCCGGGTGGAAAGGAAACCTGGGCATAGTAGGGAAGCCCTTGTTGTACAGCCACCTCGGGATGTAGTTCTCTCTTCAACCTCCTGTAACATGAAAACGCTGATCCAGGGAAGTTAAACTACAAGAATTATACATTCTTCTTCGATCCCTTTACTCACACTGAAGAAATCAGACATGAACCTGAATACTCTCTGATGGAACCTCTCCCAAGTTCTAAAACTGGGCAAACACAGACCTCCCTTGTAAAATGAGCAGAGAAACATTTGAACATAGAAAAAATGTTCATGGTCTCCAAAGAAAAGAACTCTTGAAAAAAGCTTGCTACAGGAAAGTGAATTTTGTAAGATATTAAATCCAGATTCTCAACAATAAAGTGAGGAGATTATACTCATGAAAAAGGAACAATCTGAGGTTAGGGAAGACTACTTTTAGGTGAAACAATAATGGCCTGATGTAAAAATGCGATGGCCATACTGACTAGCAAGTTGGACAGTGTAAAAAACAGGGTGAGAAAACCAGTCAGCCAAATTCTGGAACTCACATAAGAGGCATATAGGATAGGTTCAGGAGATTGAATAGGAAACCCAGGGGAGGAGAACACGTCAGACAGAGAGGAAGTGGTGACCAAATAAACAACAAAAGATAATTTTCTTGAGTTGAAGAAATCCTTGACTTTAATCCAAAACCTCACTGAACTCCAGAGAATATAAGAGACTTTCCTTGTCATGTCTTTCTTTTCCATTATATTCCAAATATAAAGAAAAATCTTGTAATCATTCAGCCCAACAAACAACCAGGGGACATACTAGGAGGAAAAATCCTTTTGACATCAGACTTATCTTTCAATGATAAATTTCAGAAAATAGTGGAACGGCCTTTACAACATTTTGACGATAGTGTGTCAAAACTGCTCCAGCTGCCAAGATATGGTTCCTACATAAAGGCCACAGAAATGTATTCTCAGTCATTCAAAGATTCAGAAAATATAACAGACTTATGCTTTCCTGAAAAAGATTATTTTAAGAAGTATTCCAATCTCTCTGAGCATGGTATTATAAAAGCAAAGCCAAAAAAAAGTATTACTGGATTTAATTACATGAAATCTTCAAATGTATACGAAGTCCAAAAATTCATAAAATTAAAAGACAAATGAAAAACTAGAGCAATATTTATAACATATAAGACAAGATTTAAATTCTCTAATAACAAAGTGTTCCTGCATATCAATAAAGAAAAAACAATTTAATTTTTTAATGATCAAGAACGCGACCAATAAATATAAAAAGTTTCATCTTCAGTAGTAATCAAAGAAAAACAAATTAAAACAACAATGAGGTATCATCTATCATCTGTCAAATAAGCAAAGTGATAAAGGCCTACTTTTAGCAAGAATATGGTGAAAGGGACATGTTCCTTCACCACTAATGAGAGTTTAAGTTGCTAGAACTTCGCTGACAGGCAACTTGACAATACGTATAAAGTGACATTATAATGTTTGTGATTTTAACAAGTAATTCTGCTTCTGAAAATTTCTCTTTAAAACTAAGCAGTCATTTGTTCGAGAATCTATGTACATGAGTATTCATCAAAGAGTTATTTATAAGAGCAAAAATGAAAAAAGAAATTCAAAAAACAAAATAGGGGATTAGGGGTGGAGTCAAGATGGTATATACTAGGAGGATGCAGAATTTGTGTCTCCTCACAACTAGGCACCTCACAACTACCAGGCACCAGTGGGGGACCACAGACACCTAAGGAGATGGGAGGACCCCCCCAGCAACCGGTGATCTCTCCTTTTGGCTTGTTGCCCGCCCCCCTTTTTTTTTCTTTTTTCTGCTTTGGTTTTATTTTACCTTGTTGCAGTTGTTTCAATTATAGTTTTGTTTTTCCTAATTTTTTTTTTTTTTTTTTTTTTGTGGTACGCAGGCCTCTCACTCTCATGGCCTCTCCCGCTGCGGAGCACAGGCTCCGGACGCACAGGCTCAGTGGCCATGGCTCACGGGCCCAGCCGCTCCGCGGCATGTGGGATCCTCCTGGACCGGGGCATGAACCCGTGTCCCCTGCATTGGCAGGCGGACTCTCAACCACTGCACCACCAGGGAAACCCTCCTAATATATATTTTATCTTTCTAACTTTATTTTGTTTTTTATTCTTTGATATTGTACTGTTCCTTTCTTCCTTTTTTTTTTTTTTTTACCGTGCCACGAAGCTTGCAGGATCTTGGTTCCCAGACCAGAGGCTGGGCCGGAGCTCCCGTGTTGGGAGCTCCAAGTCCAAACCACTGGACTAACAGAGAACCTCAGACCCCAGGAAATATCAATTGGAGTGAGGCCTTCCAGAGGTCCTCATCTCAGCACCAAGACCTTGTTCTATCTAACTGCCTGCAAACTTCAATGCTGGATGTCTCAGGCCAAACAACCAGTAAGACAGGAATACAGCACCACCCATCAAAAAAAAAAAAAAAAGAAAGAAAGAAAGAAACGAGAAAAAAAAGTTACAGATGAAAGAGCAAGGTAAAAACCTACAAAACCAAATAAATGAATATGAAATAGGCAAGCTACCTGAAAAAGAATTCAGAGTAATGATAGTAAAAATGATCCAAAATCTCAGAAACATAATGGAGAAGATACAAGAAACATTTAACAAGGATATAGAAGAACTAAAGAGCAAACAAACAATGATGAACAACACAATTACTGAAATTAAAAATACTCTAGAAGGAATCAATAACAGAATAACTGAGGCAGAAAAAAGGATAAATGAGCTGGAAGGTTAAATGGTGGAAATAACTGCCAGGGAGGCAAATAAAGAAAAAAGAATGAAAATAATTGAGGACAGTCTCGAGACCTCTGGTCCAACATTAAGCGCACCAACATTTGAATTATAGGGGTCCCAGAAGAAGAAGACAAAAAGAAAGGGACTGAGAAAATATTTGAAGAGATTATAGTTGAAAACTCCCCTAACATGGGAAAGGAAATAGTCAATCAAGTCCAGGAAGCACAGAGAGTACCGTACAGGATGAACCCACAGAGAAACACGCCGAGACACATATTAATCAAACTATCAAAAATTAAATACAAAGAAAAAATATTAAAAGCAACGAGGGAAAAGCAACAAATAACATATAAGGGAATTCCCATAAAGTTAGCAGCTGATTTTTCAGCAGAAACTCTGCAAGCCAGAAAGGAGTGGCAGAACATATTTAAAGTGATGAAAGGGAAAAACCTACAGCCAAGATTATTCTACCCAGCAAGGATCTCATTCAGATTCAGCAGAGAAATTAAAACCTTTACAGACAAGCAAAAGCTAATAGAATTCAGTACCATGAAACCAGCTTTACGACAAAATGCTAAAGGAACATCTTTAGGCAGGGAACACAAGAGAAGGAAAAGACCTACAATAACAAACCCAAAACAATTAAGAAAATGGTAATAGGAACATACATATTGATAATTACCTTAAATGTAAAAGAATTAAATGCTCCAACCAAAAGACATAGACTGGCTGAATGGATACAAAACAAGACCCGTATATATGCTGTCTACAAGAGACCCACTTCAGACCTAGGGACATATACAGACTGAAAGTGAGGGGATGGAAAAACATTTTCTATGCAAATGGAAATCAAAAGAAAGCTGGAATGGCAATTCTCATATCAGACATAATAGACTTTAAAATAAAGGCTATTACAAGAGACAAAAGACACTACACAATGATCAAGGGATAAATCCAAGAAGAAGTTATAACAATTGTAAATATTTATGCACGCAACACAGGGGCACCTCAATACATAAGGCAAATGCTAACAGCCATAAAAGGGGAAATCGACAGTAACACAATCATAGTAGGGGACTTTAACACCCCACTTTCACCAATGGACAGATCATCCAGAATGAAAATAAATAAGGAACACAAGCTTTAAATGATACATTAAACAAGATGGACTTAATTGATATTTATAGGATATTCCATCCAAAAACAACAGAATACACTTCTCAAGTGCTCATGGAACGTTCTCCAGGATAGATCATATCCTGCATCACAAATCAAGCCTTGGTAAATTTAAGAAAATTGAAATCATACCAAGTATCTTTTCCGACCACAATATTATGAGACTAGATATCAACAGCACGTTAAAAGGATCATACACTATGATCAAGTGGGGTTAACCCCAGGAATGCAAGGATTCTTCAATATATGCAAATCAATCAATGTGATAACCCATATTAACAAATTGAAGGGGAAAAACCATATGATCATCTCAATAGATGCACAAAAAGCTTTTGACAAAATTCAGCACCCATTTATGATAAAAACTCTCCAGAAAGTAGGCATAGAGGGAACTACCTCAACATAATAAAGGCCATAGATGACAAACCCACAGCAAACATCATTCTCAATGGTGAAAAACTGAAAGCATTTCCTCTAAGAACAGGAACAAGACAAGGTTTCCCACTCTCACCACTATTATTCAACATAGTTTTGGAAGTTTTAGCCACAGCGATCAGAGAAGAAAAAGAAATAAAAGGAATCTAAATCCAAAAAGAAGGAGTAAAACTGTCACTGTTTGCAGATGACATGATATTATACATAGAGAATCCTAAAGATGCTACCAGAAAACTACTAGAGCTAATCAATGAATTTGGTAGAGTAGCAGGATATAAAGTTAATGCACAGAAATCTCTTGCATTCCTATACACTAATGATGAAAAATCTGAAAGAGAAATTAAGGAAACACTCCCACTTACCACTGCAACAAAAA